GATTACACTGATTCACCGCCATCAAGGAAGGGGCAGTATCCTTATTAGAACAGACACGTATTCTGGGTATGGATTTGCTTTCCTTGCATGTAATGCTTCTATCAATATTACAATTTATAGACCACAGAATGTCTTATCCACAGGAATGGTATTCCACGGAGCATTGCTTCTGACCAAGGACTCACTCACAACCAAAGAAGTGCTCAGTGGGGTCATGATTGTAAGATTAATGGGTCTTATCATCATGAGCAGTTGGCTTGAATGAGCAGTGAAATGGTGTTTTGAAGATTAATTTACAGTACCAGCTAGGTAACATTAAATTTCTGGGCTGAAACAAGGTTGCCTAGAAGGCTGAATATGCTCTGAATCAGAATTTAGTAAGTGGTAGTTTCTCCCATGGCAACAAGTCATGGGTCCAGGAATTGAGATATAGAATTAAGAATGGCATTACCCACTATCACCTCTAGCAAAAAAATTGCCTTCTGTTCCCAGGATGCTCTCCTCTGCTGTTAGAAGTCTTGATTTCAGAGAGGGAAATTCTTCTATCAGGAACACTACAATGGTTCCACTGGACCAGTTTAGACACTGTCTATCATCTGGGGCCCTCAAGCCCCCAGGACAACAGGTGAAGAAAGGAGCTATGGTGTTGACTGAGGTGAATGACCCAGACTTCCAGGGAATACTGGACAATTATGCCACAGTAGAGGTTAAGAAGATCCCTGGGCTGCCGGCCGGTGGTGGCACACGCCTTTAATCCCAGCACTCGGGAGGCAGAGGCAGGCGGATCTCTGTGAGTTTGAGGCCAACCTGGTCTCCAAAGTGAGTTCCAGGAAAGGCACAAAGCTACACAGAGAAACCCTGTCTTGAAAAACCAAAAAAAAAAAAAAAGATCCCTGGGGACATCCCTTAGCATTACCATGTTCTGTGATTCTGGCCAGTGGAGCCAGACATGGTAGAATATTAAGTATTAGTTTCCTTTTAAAAAAAATAAAAAATAAGAACTTTTATTTTAAAAATTCAAATATATTTCCAATGAAAATACGTGTTCATTTACTAAGCACTCAGTTTGTCAGGCTCTGTATAAGCCAAAAGTTCAGCCAGGAGGTTGTGGTGCACACCTTTAATCCCAGCACTCAGGAGGCAGAAGCAGGTGGATCTCTGTAAATTAGAGGCCAGCCTGATGTACAAAGTGAGTTCTCAGACAGCCAGAACTGAACTGAGAAACCCTGTCTCGGAAAACCAAAAACCAAAACAAAATGAAACAAACAAACAAAACTAACCAAATAAACAAAAATGTTTGCTGAGACTCTTCCAGAGCAAAATCTACTTTTGTTCTTCACTTGTTCTGTTTTGTTTTTTGATTGTTGTTTTTCAAGACAAAGTCTCACTGTGTAGCCCTGGCTGTCCTGGAACTCACTCTGTAGTAGCCCAGACTGACCTCGAACTCAGAGATCAGCCTGCCTCTGCTCCCGAGTGCTGGGACCAGAGGTGTGGGCCACCACCGCACGGCTCTACCATTTGTGTTTGTACGAGACTGACCGTATTTCAACTCCACCGTCAGAACGACATCTTCAAGTTTGCTCAAGACACAGATTCCCAATCATGGAGGAAGCACGTCACACAGCTAAAGCAGAAGTCTGTCAGCTGCCACTTCTAACGTCGCCTTCCTTAGAAGCCACTACTTCCTCCTCTCTCTCCAAAGCCCCCACTTTTACCTCCTCTTCCTCTTCTTGGACCTCCCCTGACACTGCCTCTAGCAGGGCCTTTCTTACCTGAGATTGAGACAGAAATCTCCGCAGTGGCAGCACCTTTTAGGGGTCTATATAAAACTCCTGCCATTTTTAAAAAGTAAGCTATCTTTAAGTTTTCTAACAATTTAACTGAAAAAAAATTTGAGTTTTTCAAATGTTTCATCCATTTTTCCAATTTGTCCTATGTTTTCTAAATAAATAAAAGTGTTGAGATTAGGCATCTTGGGCCTCAGAGAAGGCTCTGTGGTTAAGAGCATTGGTTACTGCTATGGAATAATGCTTTTGTACACTGGTTTAATAAAACGCTGATTGGCCAGTAGCCAGGCAGGAAGTATAGGTGGGATAAGCAGACAAGGAGAATTCTGGGAAGAGGAAAAGGAAGGCTGAGTCAGAAAATGCCAGCCCGCTGTCCAGGGAGCAGCATGTAATGACAGACAGGTAAAGCCACAGAAAATGTGGCAACATATAGATTAACAGAAATGGGCTGAGTTTAAATGTAAGAGCTGGTCAGTGGTAGGCCTGAGCTAATGGCCAAGCAGTTTTAACTAATATAAGCCTCTGTGTGTTTACTTGGGGGACACGAATAGGAGAGATTTGTCCAAACTGCTGGCCGGCTGGGACACAGGAAAACTTCAGCAGCAGGTAACTCTTCTGAAGGACCCAGGTTTGATTACCTGCATCCACATGGTGGCTCACAACCATCTACCATGACAGTTGAAGGCCTTTCCTGGCCTCTGTGGGCATACAAGTGGTGTGTAGACATACACTCCAAAACACCTATACACACAAAATTTAAAAAAGAAAAAAGAGAAGGCACCTTATTTTCTTCTATGGTACATTTATAAACTCATCTTCACAGGAATGCAGGAACTCTTCAAATAACAACACATGCTCTGGCTACGGATGACACTGTCACCAAGCCTAATGGCCTGAGTTCAATCCCCTGAGACCCAAAATCGTAAAAGGTGAGAATGGATTCCCACAGACTGTCCTCTCACAGTCACTAGCATGCTACAGCATGTGTATCCCCACCCCCAAACACACAAGCAAATCAATGTAACACATTTTAAATAAAAATAGACGCTGTACACATTCTGGAGGTCTTGGTCTTAGGCTTCGTTACAGCCTCTAGAGTCATCCCCTGTCCAAGCGCCTCTCCCACTACCTCTGAAAATGGTTCTGCTCCCAGCTGAGAAGAGGTTGCTGCTACTACCATCAAGCTTGAAGGCATCTCTTCTAGCACTTCAATTAAAGACTCCACAACTTCTGCCTCAAAAAGACACGATCCAACACACACTTCTAGATCAGGCCTCCACACCTTTTTTCCAGATAAGTTTTCAACGTAGCCCAGAGGATCTTAAACTTTCAATCTTCTTGAGTGGTATTAAACATGTGTACCACCAAGCCCAACTAATCCTTTCCTATTTTGCTAGGAATATGTGTGTGTAGCCTGGCATGGTAGCACACACCTTTAATCCCAGCACTCAGGAGGCAGAGACCGCAGATCTCTGTGGGTTCGAGGCCAGCCTGGTCATCAAAGCCAGTTCCAAGACTGTCAGGGCTGCACAGAGAAACCCTGTCTCAAAACAAGACAAACAGGAAGAACACATGTGCACATACAGACATATACGTGACGTAAGCATCTTTTTTCTTTCTTCTGTTCCTTTGTCATGTAACAGCATTGACTGACTGTGTATTTCCAAATCTAGATTGAGTACTAACAGTGTGGATAGCAGAAGAACGAGCATCCATTGACATTTTATCTGGACAATGGTGCAGGCACTTGGAAGGCTGTGGCAGAATCAGAATTGCAAATCTGAGGTAAGAGCAGGCTGTAGACCAAGGCTTTTGTCTTTTTTCTTTCTTCTTCTTTTTTTTCTTGAGACAGGGTTTCTCTGTGTAGCCCTGGCTGTCCTAGAATTTACTGTATAGGCCAGTCTGGCTTCAGACTCACAGAAATCAGCCTCCCACCCGACTGTAAGGCCTTATCTTGAAAACAGATAACATTTGTTTCCTTCCATACTTGAGAAGAATAGTACATTTGTTGTTATAGTCAGAACTTTGTCTCACGTTCAGTGGAAGGACAACCTTCCTAATGTCTTTACTTGTAGGTGAAATGGTGGGGAGATGTGTAATGGGACTAGGTTAACAAGAGGTAGATTTGTGATGGTTAGCTTTATGGGTCAACTTTACTGGCCTAAAGACTTCACAGCTAGTTAGTAAACAATCATTTCTAGGGGACTGGAGAGATGGCTCAGCGGTTAAGAGCACTAGCTGCTCTTCCAGAGGCCCTGGTTCAATTCCAGAGGCCCAGCACCCACATGACAGCTCACAGCTATTTGTAACTCCTGTTCCAGGGAATTTCATTCCTGCATACAAACATTATTGCAGGCAAAACACCAATGTATATAAAAATAAAAATAAATAAATTTAAATTAAAAAAAAAAAACAATTATTTCTGGGTATGTCTATGAGCAATTTTACAAACAAGGTGAACATGTGAATCAGAGGACTGAGTAAAGAAGACTCAGTCTCCCCAGTGTGGGTGGTGTCAGCCAATCTGATACAGACACAAGAGAACAGGGATGCGCTTTCCTTTCTGCTTGAGTCCTGATTTCATCTTCTCCTGCCCTTTCAAGTAGGGCTACAGTTTCTTTGGCCTTTGGGTTCAGACATAACCAAGTTCCAGGTTCTCCAGCCTACATGGTAGATTGTGGGGTGGCCTCCAAAACCTCAAAGGTCAATTCACATAATAAATGTGCTTCTGGCCGGGTGGTGGTGGCACACACCTTTAATCCCAGCACTCAGGAGGCAGAGCCAGGCAGATCTTTGTGAGTCTGAGGCCAGCCTGGTCTACAGAGTGAGTTCCAGGACAGGTATCAAAACTACACAGAGAAACCCTAACTCCAAAATAATAAAGAACCCCCCCCCAAAATAATAAATAAATAAATAAATAAATAAATAAATAAATAAATAAATAAATAAATAAATGTGCTTCTGCATGTTTATGTATCGCCATTTCCCTGGAAACTTCTGATTGGTACCTGGGAGAAGAGTCACACTGGCAGTGATTTCCAGGGAAGATTTAGACATATCTCACAGTATCCAATAGACTCCCAGAGTGGAAATCAGTCCAATGATTCCACTTCTTCTGGAATAATATACTCAATGAACCCCTCACCATCCAGAATTCAAACTAGTTGGCAAGGAATGCCTCAAAGGAAGAACCAACCCCCAATGATGCTCTACCTGTCTTTGAAGAGCAAGTTCACCATCGAGTTCCCTCAGTTTTCTCTCCAACTTCCACTTCAGATCCTCATACTGCTCCTGCTGGCGGTCTATTTCACTCTTCTTGTCGCTGTGGCAATGAGACACTGTATTCAGAGAGCCATTATGAATGTTCCTATGCATGCACCGAATGTATACACTGCAGGGTGTTCCTCACACATGGAGTTGGTACATGGCTTTTGCAGAGGTGCTTATAACAGGCTTCCAAGAAGCAGAACTTCTGCTTGACCTGAACCTGCCTGCCACCCCTAAATGAAGTGACCAACTGCACAGGAGAAAACACAACAAAGAACCCCAAACTGATGGACTAACAAGAAGCAGGAAAGGGCCAGGTGTGGTGGTAATCTAATTATACTGAAATGTGATTTTGATTGTATGTTAATAAATAAAGTTGTCCGGGGGTCAGAGCTATTAGAGCCATAGCAAAAGTGGCCGCCGCCATGACCAGAGAGGCTGCAGCCGCCGCCATGACCAGAGAGGCTGCAGCCGCCGCCATGACCAGAGAGGCTGCAGCCGCCGCCATGACCAGCAGCATGTGAAGACGCCAGTAAGCCACCAGCCACATGGCAAGGTATAGATGTATGGAAATGGATCAATTTAAGATAAAAGCACAGTTAGTAAGATAAAGGAACAGTTACAAGAAGCCTGCCACGGCCATACGGTTTGAAAGCAATATAAGTGTCTGTGTTTACTTGGTTGGGTCTGAGCGGCTGTGGGACTGGCGGGTGACAGAGGTTTGTCCTGACTGTGGGCAAGGCGAAAAAATCAAGCTACAGCCAGGCATGGTGATGCACGCCTTTAATCCCAGCACTCAGGAGAAAGCATCAAGCAGATCTCTGAGTTCAAGGCCAACCAGGTCTACCTAGTGAATTCCAGGACAGCCAGGGCTACATAGTGAGACCCTGGGGGACGGGGGAGAGAGTTCATTACCAAATGATGCCAACATTTAGAGAAACAAATAGAAACAGAAAAATCCCAGCAAAGAGATACAACAAAGAATCACATGGAAACTTGATAGCTACAAAGCACAATTACTACCCAGGCCATCACCCACAGTGCCTTTCATCGGGATCCCAGCACTCGGGAGACAGAGGCAGGCAGATCTTTGTGAGGTCAAGGCCAACCTGGTCTACAGAGTGAGGCCCTATCTCAAAACAACAACAACAAAAGATTTAAGAAGTACAATAACCTACACAAAAGGCTCAAATTCTGGACATGATGTCACAATAATTTGACAAAGGAAGGAATTGGTGAACTTGATACAAGACATTAGACATGACATGACTGAACACAGAGAAAATAAACTAAAAATTAAAAATAAACAAATGGGGCCCCAAGGATGTGTGGGGTTACTACTATGATACTGATACTTCCTATGCCCTTGGGGTTTCAGTACAGGAGGGAGAGCAGAGGGCTGACAAGGTGTCAATCTGCACATGACTGAAAGGTCTCAGTTTGGAGAAAAAGGCAAAAGAGCCACAAACAGACAGAAAGCAGACATCTGTGACATCTTCCAGGGGCTGAGCAGCACTTCCTGACTGTGGATCACAGGTGCTTCAGAAGACTTACGACAGACCTCCATGTCTGACACAACACCTCTGCAATGTCAGGTGAAACTTGTGGAATGTATTGCTAAAACTTAGCAGACCAGTAGCTTCCACCAAACTCTAAAGCTAAGAATGTCAGCAGATAGCAGCTGACATGCTGGGGCAGTGACCCACGCCTTCAGTCCCAGCACTCAGAGGCAGAGGCAGGTAGATCTTCGTGAGTGTGTGGCCAGCCTGGTCTACACCATGAGTTCCTGGGCAGCCAGGGCTATACAGTGAGACCTTGTATAAAAAAGAAATCTTAGGCTGAAATCTAAGGAAAAGATCGTAATATCACTAGTGTCTAGAGGAACATGTGCATCACTCACTCAATGGACACCAGAGAAAATAATGTATAGTGGTAAACTATTTTTAAAATCCTCCCCAATAGTAGCTCAAAACTTATATTCAAAGTGTCTTACTATTATTGTTCCACACATAATCCTGGAAAACTGCTTCCTGGATCCCAGGGACATTTCCCTTTACTGAACAGGCCAGGGTGAGGGTACAGGGAGAGTGGGTGGCTCCCAGCCTGTTGGGAGAAGACTCCAGGACCTCGACATCTGTGATGCTCACCTGTGGACACGCTCCAGCTCCAAGTGATGCTCCTGCAACATTAGCTGGTGCTGATGCTGCAGCTCCTCCACGCGCCTGGCCTCTCTGGAGAGCGCCTGTTTCAGCTTGGCCACCTCTATCTTGAGCTCACTGGCCTCCGCTTGCCGGGCCTCCTCCCGCCGGCGGGCCTGGGTGAACTCGACATCGTAGCGCTCCAGCTCCCGGTCCCGCTCCTCCAGCACCTGAAGATTGTAAACAAAGTCCTCCTGCAGGCGCTGCAGCTTCCCTTGTGTCTCCTCCAGGTGCTTCTGAGTATTCCGCAGCGCCTCCTCCTGCAGCTGGGCACGGTGGGCCTGCAGTGCCCGCCATTCCTCCTCCTTGCGAGCCAGGAGCTCACTCAGTTCCCGCTCGGAGCACGGGGGCAGCATGGTGCGGCTGCAGCAAAGAGAAGGCAACACGCAGACACCATTAGGGATTCTAAACTTCGCTCCCCGGTGCCCACCTGGGGTTCTCCAGCCATGGTAAGCATGGTTCTCCTGTCAGGGAGGTTCAGAGTCGAGAGGCAGCAGCAAGCCCGAGACCTCCGGGGTTCACCTGCCCCTCGTCACTCTACAGCAGGAGACCAGGGGCTGTAAATCCAGGGAAAGCAGAGGAAGGGAGATGCGAGGCATGGTTTGAACACCCCCAGGAGCTACGTCCGTCAATCGGCTTGGTGTAGCTCTACTCCATTTGCGTGTTAGAAGACTGAGGCAGCTAAGTAGCTAAGCTAGGGCTGAAGCCAGTACCCGATTCTTCCCACCACTCTACTCTGTAGCCAGGACTCGGCCTCCTGGAAGATTTACCTCATGATAAGTTCCTTCCTTCTTTTGCTTTCAAGCTATCATGGACTGACATTTTTGTAAATAACAGAAATCAGAAATAAAGGTTATAAAAAAATAAGAGAACAAATACAAGTCCAGTGGTTTTGAGATGGAGTCTTGCTAAGTTGCCCAGGCTGGCCTTGAACTCTCAATCCTCTGCTATAGCCTCCTGAATAGCTAGGGTAGTAGGTATGCGCCACTGTGTCTGGATAAAGTCTTAATTTTTAAAAACATTAGATCCAACATTATAAAACTACTTTTTCAAATAGCTAGTAAGTCTTTAAAGGCCTCTGACTGGGGAACTGAGGACCTGCCCTGCAGGGCGGGACTGCGCTGGCCACAGCGCACTGAGAGCCTGTTTCTTGTCAAGGCTCTGCAGACTGTTACTGGTTCTAGTGGGGCCTGGTTGTCAGGACTCAATAGAAAAGGTTTCTTCTCTGTACACAAAGCCATTTTGCTTGGGGCTTCTAGCTTTATGTATACAGTCAATCTGAGGCCAGCAATGCTGGGTGTCATCACCTAGGCACCACAGCCAGCGGGTGCAAGCAGAGGCACAGGGCTCCTGTCACCTTTTGGAGGCAATGATGTCTGAACGTCACCCTCTTCCAATAGTGTTTTCCCAGGGCACATGGAGGCGTCTGGCAGTTGTATTTGTGTGTCACTGTCACCCCAAAGAAAGTAGCAGTCTGACTCTCTGCAAGTGGGTCTTCTTTAGAAAGAAAAACCACACTGCCCCAGGTCACCTCAACTCGTCCTGTATATATTTACAGAGAATGTGCAAAATGACAGCCAACACATTGAGAGAGACCCAAGTGAAGATGATGTAGGTTGCCTCATCTCTACTCAGATCAGCAATAAGCAACCACTGACATAAAACTCAGTAGCAGGGGCAGGAGGACCACAGGGGTTTGCTTTTGTGTTGTGCTGTATGTGTGGGTGGAGAGGAGGGCATGATGTATGCATGGAGGGTGTGGCATGCTATGTATTGTCTGTAGTGTGTGTATATAAGTTTGTGGTACTGTGAAGGTATGTGAGTTCATGTGTGCTATTGTGTGTTGTGTTTACATCAAGTCCAAAGTCCCTGAGCCAGTAGCTGCTCTTTATATAAGCAAGAATACTACTTAGAGAAAATTTTATTCATGAAATTACTGATAACAAAAATTAGTTACAGTCAGGTTGGAGAGATGGTTCAGTGGTTAAGAGTACTTGCTGCTCCGAGCTAAAGAGATGGCTCAGGGGTTAGGGGCACTGGATGCTCTTCCAAAGGACCCAGGTTCAATTCCTGGTACCCACATGGCAGCTCACAACTGTCTGTAACTCCTGTTCCAGAAGATCTGACACCTTCACACCAATGCACATAAAATAAAAATTAAATAAATAATTTTTTTTAAAAAAAAGAGTACTTGCTGCTCTTGCAGAGGACCTGATTCCTTTCCCAGTACCCACATGGCAGCTTACAAGCATTTATAACTCCAGTTCCAGGGCCTCTGATGCCTTCCTCTGGAGTCTACAGGCTCCTTCATATACATGGTTCCACAAGCACACACACAGACATAAAAATAAATTTAAATAAAGATTTAAATTACAGTCAAAATCATCAGGACTAAAGAAATAAGAGTGCATTTTACAGGAAAGAATGAGTGTTCCATTGGACAGTGGGCACAGTTTTGTGGCAGGCCTTCCTGTAAGTTCTAAATCCCTAAAACAGGGCCTGGCAGATACTATGTAACGGACCAGGCAGTATCTTCCAGGGGCTTTGGGTCACACAACAATTAGACAACCCCAGTCCT